TATATAATTTATTAGTAATAAGTTATTACCTATATAAATATTATAGATACTAAAAACAGAAGAGAGGGAAGAAATATCTCTTTTATTTTTCCTGTAAATGCTCCTTTGTTCCATGTCTTTAAAAACTCAACGATTCGAATTTGAAGTTTCGTTAATTTTCGATAGATTTTCCATCATTAACATCCATCGTCACGTGTCACGCGTGTATTTAGTGCGTCTTTTGTATTGGCTAATTGTATTTTACGTTGTATACGGCCATCAAACAAAAACGGACTGTGTAATATCAATATGACGTCCTTTCCGGATTTTTATTTCAACATAATATGCGAAATTCTATCGCATAGATAATAAATAAATATCTTATTTTAAGATTCAAACGTGATTTACCTGAAACTATTTAACAGTATATTTTCTGTCTAAAAACTTAGAATATAACTTACTAATATTTTATATTTTATTTTTATACGGTTTTTAAGTGCTGTACAACGATAATATTATTATATCAAACCCCTTTACCAAAAATCGCAATAATTAATTATACAAAGCGGTACAATATTTTCAAAAAAATAATTAGGTAAATTTCAAGTGATCCTAATAAAATATTAATAATTACAAAAATTATTTTAGGTGCTAGCATAACAATTATTATTAATAGATTTAATAGTTTAAACAATATACTGGTTTCGTTAAAATATGATGAAATAATACTACGAACTTATGTCATAGGGGAGCAAAAACAATTATTTAATCGTTACCAACCCTATAATTTTGAGGTATTCAACTCGTTAACTATTTGAGTTTAAAAAAAAATCTATTTTAAATCTACTAAAAACATGTTTGTAATAATAATGGGTGATTACAAAAATGTAATTCAAAGCCCACAAAACGGTATTCGTGACATTATATATTCAATGGCCGAATGTTCAAACCTACCTATTTATCAACATAATAATATAGTAAAGGGTTAACAAAACAATAATTATCCTCTACGTCAATAATAATATAAAAATAAAAATCAAGCTTTCCGGTTGTCGTGGTCGTTATTATAGGTGACTGGAAAATAATTACTGAAAACATCGCCGAAAAATTTATTTTTTTTTTCTCTTATACACATAAAAAAATGTAATTATAAAAAAAGAAACCCGAAAGAAAACGTCCATCAATGACAATACTTAAACAAAATAAAGCGTTTTTATACCAAAATTAATACATTTTGGACGAGTTACGCATGAAACCAAATTAAAACTTTTTCACTCGATCTAAAATATACGTATTAAATATAATACTAGAATAAAAAAGATTTCAAAACCACATTATACATTTTACATTATACTTTTAAGCATACTGATGATTTTTTTACTTTTAAATTGTACTTATTACGTGCATCGCTTTATTTTTTTTTTTTCGTTTCACGAATCATTGTGCCAAAGTTTTTTTTATACCCAGGTAATCGAATAAAACATATTATTTTAATTTACGGGTAATGTACTAATTTTTATCTTAATAACTGGCTAATTTTAGTTTTAATATTATGTTCTAAAAATTATCCCTGATATATTATATCGTATAATTAGCTCATATTGCGCGTCAGCAAAATATTATATTTTCCTTGAGTGATACGCATCTCAAAACCATATCAAAATAAAATAAATATTTCAGGTAATATTTTTTTTTTTTTGTATTTCAGGTATAGACAACTTTTAGAAATTGTTTTTGTAACAATATATTATACGCACTGCGAGGTTTTTTTTTTTACCTCATCGTTTTTTTATTTTTATCGTGATGTCAATATTTTATATTTTCCAATATAATAAATGTCATATCATAACATTGTATGATTATTATACTGAATAATACGACGCATATTCAGTAAACTTAACTTCTATATCGAGTAAAATATTATAACCGAAAAACGACAACTCTTTCATTTTGTATAATAATAATTGCATTTTTAATCGAGAAAAAACCATTATTATTGACGTTGTCGTCGCAGTTTTGCGCGTAAACATTTACTTTTTTTCAGAAACTATAATATTATAATATTATTAGTATTCGATTTTATTATTTATTCAACCGAATTCGATTGTCAAATATTTTTCATTGTTCCTTTCCCCGGACCCTTATTTTATGATATATCCGTAAACAAAGATCGGACGGGCGATTCGATGTCGTCGTCAAAAGAGTTTATACAAATATTCGTTTAAAATATTAAAATGTCCTTATATTACGTATCCTGTTATATACTGGTTATAAATAACGATTTCCGTCTTGACAAAACAAACATAATATCGTTTTAATGCAACTATACTGTTATTTAATATGTTTAATATAATGCCGTATAATATTGTAGTTCCGTATAAACGCTCGTATTTACCAGAAAACGAAAAAATAATGGATATTTATATAAGTATTATCATATATGAGATTCGTGATATAATAATAATAAAAAAAAAAAATTAAATATTCTAAATCGTGATGCAGACCGTTTTTATTATATAATATTATTTCATTAGTTCTTCTCCCCTCCCCATTTGTACTACCCATCTACAAATCGTCGTACTTGCACGAAAAATATGTTACACGGAATTCCAATTATATACTATTGTCCGTAACGTACAAAATCTGAAACGATAACGTCATTATTTATTGTTATTATCAGCATATGCATCTGCTATGCGCCCCGTCGTCGTCAGATCCCTCGCCCGTGTTGTGCAGCACCCTGTTTGGTATATGTATGAGGTACAGCTGTGGTGTCGTTCTTTAGTGCGTTTATGTCGAAAAAGGGGACGGTAAAACTCGTACACGAAAATAACCTTTCCGAAATATTATATGGAAACATGTAAACTGCAGTAAAAACATCTTACAAAACGATTTCAGAAGATCTCAAATTATACAAACGAGAATTAAACCTATATATAATAATATTGTGTTTCATGATTTATACAGCACCCATTAAACCGTCACTCGATTTTAAGTAACATGATAGGTACTAAGTGTATCATTTATTTTTCTTACTTTTTTTTCTAGTTAAATTATCAAACAGTCACTTATACAAGTTACCGAATCGAATTAGGGTATAGCCAGTACTTATAACTATATAGATACTGGTTACTTCCTACCCTCCCCATCACCGATATAGTATTTGATCAGCTAGATCAAAAGTTCTATGAAGAATTACTTTCTATGAAATAGATAGAAAGTTATTTACAGACACGAAAAAAAATACATAGGTAGTATAACAAATACATTCTTCATTTCGTTCATAATTTAAAATGCAAAAAATAAATCATACACACACGCATATTCACAACGATTAGCACAAAACCGAACGTATTGTATTTAATAATTTTTTAATGATATAATAATACAAAAAATTTAAAATTTAAAAAAAAAAAACAATTATAATGCAAATACACACCCCAACGGGGAAAATTAGTTCAAAATGAGTAGTAAAAACAGATTATATTTGCGATCCGACAGGGTGGTTTACCGTAAATACTTTTTATTATTATTTTAAAAGGTATGAGTATTATGCGATGCATTCGAAATTTAGTTTTAATTAACGCCAGCGTTCTCATGAGCGAAATAATATTATGTGTCCCATGAGTACCGAAAATAACGATTTCCTTGTTTGTTAAGTAATCGCGAATTCTGTTTATTATAATATAGGTATTAGGTGCCTATTATATTCCACTTAGCTGTAAACTCCTGTGTTCTAAAAATGATTTCGAACAAAAATATACAGATTTTTTTTGTCTATAAACAACATTTTTACTAGAAATATCTTCTTCAAATCAATAACAAAAAAAAAAAACCACAATATAAGTTTATTTTTTATTTCCCTAGAAGTTTTCTTAATAACCAGAAAAAAACGTAAGAAAAACGGGAATGTTTACGAAAATAACGGTTCCATTACTTTGCAATCCAGTTCGTAATAATCATTGAGGTCTGATATTTTAGTGGAATACATACTTATATTGGATTTTTCTAGACATAATAAAATCAAAAGATTCTAGCATTTTTAAATTATATATAGACATTTGTCATTTTCGAAGTTTTTTTTAATTTTTTAGAACTAAATTACTTCTTTCCAACGTTCCTTATAAAACAGTTACTCGCCCATCATCAGTATCGGCCAATTTTTACATAAAATATTTCTCTTTACACTTTTCCGAATGTTTGGGGTGTTTTCAGTCGCCTCGATGCGCTGCAGAAATTTTAATTAATTTCATATAGGTGTCAACACTGTATAATAATATAATTTAATTCGAAAGGGCCACGACCGCGACCCCATTCCTTTGACCCTTTTTCCCAGAAAATATATTTACTATCTTTATAAGCCTGTTTAGTCCATACCGGTCTTAGGCATACTGCATACCGGTCGCTTATACATTTGCCAAAGGTATTCTTTATAAATAACCCTTTTTAATAACGAAACTTTTCCAATTATTTGTTTGTTTTACCCTACGCGCCAATAAAAGGTATAATTTATAAAATACAATCTCAGTGATTTTCATATTAATATGAAAATTTAACTATTATATTGAATTTTGTGCAAAATCTGTAAAAGTTTTTGTTTAAAAAAATCAAAAAACGTTGTCATGTTGATTATATAGTGTTCTTATATCAGTAGCTGTGGGTTGGAGTTTTTGGGTTCAAACCGAATATATTATTAAAATATTATAATATAACAATAATATATTTAATACGATATTAAAATCATATTTTTTTTTCAACTGAGAAATTTTTCTTAGATTTGTCCTTTTTTAATTCAAATAATTCAAAATTAAATCACTATCTATCACTATTTTTTAAACTTCTAAGAGAATATAATGAGAATATTTTAAGTTTTTTAGAGAATATTAGCATCATATTTTAGATGTTATAAAAGAATATAAATCCGATATTTAGTTACATTTAGTTTATGATATTATAAGCTACCTGAATATTAATATTATTTTTAAAACTGTTTTTTTCAGAATACACTATCAACAATCAACATGCATCAAAAAGTCAATTGTCCGTGTGAATATCACAAGTAATTATTATAACTAGTATATTTTTGATGTAATATAATAAATATATTAACTATAATTATTATAATAGACTATGCGTTTAGTCAGTATTTATGATGGCAATGCAAAAATATTAATACCAAACGTCACACGCCCTCAAAATAACATATAGAAATTAATTACCACGATCGTATCAACACGTAAAACATCTAGTAAAATACCATTAAAGTTTTAAATCCGACAAGTGTTTAGATTGAATAAAAAACAAAAATACTGGTTGTAATACTGAAATACCTTAAGAAGCCTGCCACTACATATTTTTCATAAACGCGTTTTCGAATTATAATGATTTAAGTTTTAAAAACGATTAAATACAAAAAAACCATATTTTACGCGTTTAATATACAACAGCTAATAGGTACTCATAAACCATATAAATATTATGAATTTATAACGTTTCGATATTACTTGTTATTAATATTACACTTACCCGAACAAAATACCATAATAAATTTTATTAAATAAAAATCAAAAAAAGAACTGAATATTGATATATTACTGATATGCATACATAGGCGTGACTAGACTTCATCCAAAGCGGCAGCATAGCTAATGACCGATGCCACTTAATTAAACTAAAAAAACCCTTTTAAATAGGGGGGAAGGTTAGTCTCCCCCAATTAAATATTTATATAATTTTAAAAAGTCTGAATTATTTGTTTACAATTAATAATGTACAATATTTTTAGTACTTTTAAATTTAATTACAGAAATATTATTAAGGTCTGGATTACGTCACCATATAGTTAAGTAATTAACAAAATATATGATGTGTTAGTATATAGAATAACGAAAATGATAGACTGATAGGGAATAACATTTTGTTATAAAAAATGCATAAGAATTTTTTTTTTTAATAAAAAGTTGTAAGCCACTAGACATAAAATTTGGTTGACCGGCACCTTTTGAAAATTGCAGGGGCTGCCCAGGAACCCTAGGTTGACACCGTAAACACGCCTATGTATGTGTGACATTCTTGTAGATATTTTAAAAGTTGAATAGAATATAAGTATTTAATTTATATCTATGCACAATAATAAATCATTGCTGACGAAAAACGATTCTGATCATGTTTTGGAAACATGTTTTGAAATTCAATAATTTTAAAGATTTTTGTCAAATTTTGAATGCTTATAAAAATAACTACTATATTATGCTCAACTTTATGTCTTACTACTAAATAAAGCCCATGATAAACCTCATGTTAAATTGTCGAGCATTTAACTAGCTTAACTAAAACAAATTTATCCAAATAATATTAATAAAAAAAAAAATGAAACCTAATATTTCTGGCCTTGAATTTTCAGGTTTTTCTAAGTCTGTTATTCAGAATACTTTTATAAAATAAATAAATTATATTCTCAATATACTAACTAGTTACAATTTTCTTTTAGAATAGATTGTACGCGTTAACATAATGTTTTAAAACCTTTATGTTATCATTTACGGTACTTATACTCAGGCACGTGTACAAAAAAAAATTCGTGGGTTCATAAAAAATGTACAATAATCAATATTTATAAAAAAAAATATTAAATTGAAATAAATAAATTACACGACTATTAATTTTAAGAAGGGTTAACCCCCAAACCCCCCTGCAAACGAGCTTGCTTATACCAATTTTTTCGCGCATTATTGAAGTGGTAAAATTTCAAAAATAATTTAAACTCATGATATGTGATTGATTGATGGGTTGTGTACAGCTACAACATTATATTTACGAATAGGTACTCAAAAATAATGATTCAATACAATTTGAACGACGAATATATTTGATTCGCTACCTATAGATATCTTGTAATAATATAATATAGCATTACCGTTAATAAATTGAAACGTAAAATGGTTCATTAATGGTTTTACCGAGAAATATCAAAATATTCTTAATACTATTTACTTTACTGACGCGACGGTATAATATTATATGTATCGTGTTATAATAGTACGATCATAATGGTACTGTCAGTTTTTATCATTGAAATGACGCTATAACCACATTACTGCCTCAGTCTGATTAAAGGTCAACATACGAATATAGTGAAACTTTCTTACTTAGATCGTATACTGTAGCGTGTTTAAGATGAAATTCGAGTTGAACACAAAATAATAACGAAATTTAAAGAAGAGTATATTTTCGAGATTAGTACCTATGTAGCTTTTTTCTGAAATATTGTCACATAACAAAATTATATAGATATTGTAGGTTTCGCTTTTTTTAAATGGAATCAGAAGTCTAAAAATATATGATCAAATTAAAAAAAAGTTAAAACTAACATGACGACCGTAATAATATTTCAGAAAAAAATCACGTAGGCTCTCGTATAAATACTCTCCTCTATAAATTTCATTATTCGTGTTTAATCTTTAATTTCAATCTAAATACTATCAGTTGATATTTTAATTATAACGTAATTTTTCCGTCTTACCAGTTAGTTCAATTGAGATAGTAAATATTAAGTAATACTATATTCTTCTTTATTAGTTTCGGTCATTTCAGAACACAATGCTAATCATCAGCTAAATAAACATACTACCATCTATCTCTATTAATCATCTAACTCTACCTGCTGCCAATTCCGTCCACTGACAATTTAAAACTCTTACATCCCTTTTAATACAGTCTTCCCCAATTACAGTTTATTAAGAGAAGTAGCATGATTTTCGCCCAAAAATAACCTTTTTCTTTTTGTCGAAATATAATAAATTATTAGTTTTGTTCAAATTAAATACATTTTATTCGAGCGTGATAGTAAGAACCCTTTTGAGAAATTTATAACATATATTGTATATATTGTATAGACTATAATATTATATTTTTGTTAATAAATTCGTGTTTACTTTAATTAAAAAAATTAAGAGAATATTCGTTAAGAAATTTATTTAAATTGTACAGGAATCAACGTGAATTAAACAACATTTTTGGCCGAAATCGCATTTACAGAAATTTGTCGGCAGATGAAGTCAACGGAGTTTGCAATATTATTGGAAAATATTATCAGGATCAAGTTACATTGTATCATATTAAGAATTATGAAGCATATCTACAAAGAAAAGAAGAGAAACTGCGTATTCTTGAGGAACAGGTAAAAGAAATAAAAGAGGAAGAAAAGAATTCCAAAGAATTTACAAAATATTTATATGATTATTATAACCGCACTGGACGAGATTAGAAAGATGCTTGTTGATCTTTACCCGTTTTTCGCCTACTTTCTAAACAATTTTTCAAAACACAGTAGAAAAAAAAATCTAATCTAAATAATTGTTCTTTTCCAGTATAAATAACTATATTAGCGCAAATTCTACACTAATAATAATAATGATAATAATTGTCCTTAAAAATAGAAAAAAAACATTAACAAATCTCTGTGCGGACCCAACATAAAAAAAAATATTATGTTTATATTTAGATCAAAATTGAACCGATGGATGTATTTATCATTTTATTTCATACAAAATATTACTTTGTAAAATTAAAATATATATATATATCCCGTGTTTTCTCTTTTGATTATGTGTTGCACTCTCTATATATATTAGTAACTATTAGAGCAAATACATGTATGTCTTGAAAACCTTTAAATATACATATAAATAAACACTAAAAATATAAAAATTAATCCGAAAAAAAAATTATAAAAATGATTTGTTATACATATATTAAATCGTTACGTCAAAAAACACATTTTGGTGTAAATTAGCGAGTTTTTTTTTTTTGTTCATCAAATAATAAAAATGTATAAAACATGAATATCTGGCCTAGAAATTATTAAAACTCCATACAAATTGTGAATTTAGAATTATGTAGAAAATATTGTTGATTTGCTTTATAATATAAATGTATTCTTTTTTTTCAAATAAATATGTAGCATTCTTTTACATTAGATTGTGGTTTCGTATAATAATATGGATTAAGTTATATGAGAGGGTAGGGTAGGACAATCCCTACACAGTTTACTTTCTTAAATGCATATTTTAGGCTTTTAGCACCGTTCGATTGTTTGATTTAATTGTGCCAATAATTATAAACGCGGTCGTGACAACGGTCGATCGTCAAAATCCGTCATTTTCTAAAATCGCGGAAATTCTTCCGGTGAATTGCATTATAATAATACATGTATAATATACAAAACACCAAACACCTGCATAGCCGTTTACTCGCAATTTACATGCTCTCGACTTATCGTTTTCCCTTTCAACTGGACGGAAAAACTGGGTAAACGCTTTTTTTCAATAATCCTGATTGTTGAAAACCCCGATTATCGAAAGATTTTTTCATTTTTTTTTTTTTTTTTTTTTTAATCAAGTTATTTGTGCTCCACATTGTAAGATATTTTTTATTCGGTGAAATCCAACTACAAATTTTTTGTTTTCATATATGCGTGATGCAAAACGCAGCCGGATATTGAATTAAAAAATTCAAAAGCTCGTGTTGACTACCGAATTAAGTGTGATTTCCGTAATTCATTGGTTGATTTTTATAAAAATTTACCGGTAAAACGTGATCTAAGTACTTGCGGGCACATGACTACAATAAAAAGCAGTAGGTAACGAAAAATAAAAACTAGAAAGGATATACCATCGCGATAAGATTCACATAAAACTTTTAGTCTCCATTTCTCGTTTCGCTTTGAAAGAAAACAAAAATCAGATATTTCAAAATCAAAAGTAAAAAAATTTTTATGCGGTGACTTTTGTAGAATATTATTACGAATATTATTACTCTGGCCACCAGAATTATTTCCATTTCAATGACAAAGACCCACGATGGTCCATTGTCACGACGAAAAATAGGTAATCGAAGAGGCTTTACTATTTTATATTCCTTATCGTTTCGTAATCTGCACTCTAAAAACCATAGAATAATTATATAAATTATTATGCACTCTTAGATCTTAGAAATATTATCGTTTTTGTTATTTGGAAAAGGTATAAGTTGTAACGGTTTGTGATATGATGAGTTGTGATAATAAATACCTATGTTGAGAAATAATTGTGTTAATATTATAATAATGGAAAATGTATTAAGTTATGTTTAGGCCGCGTGGCGTGTCATTGATTGTTGTTTATATAAATGTTATAATTATTCACGGACTCCCGATAAAAAAGTGTCTAACGGTTTTTTTTTTCTCAAAATCTCGATACCACCATTATTTACTAACATACACTAAGTGCAAGAGTACTAAATCGGAAACATGTAAAAAAAAACATAATTCAGTTGAATTAAAAACTACATTAAAAGCTACCTGTTATAAAATAAAGAAATTTTCGAATTAAAATATGCTATTTCACAAATATACTACCACTAATAAAATAATTTATAGTTTTACTATAGTATCATATCAAAAATAATAATATTTAATCATATTTTTAACATTATATATAATATTATGACTGAAGTCGGTAATATTAAAACATACTTTTTGCTCCAATAGTTAATTATTTCAATAATGTTCATTGTTTTAGCTTATAAAAACATCATAATAACGATAGAAACGATGATAAAAATGAACGATTTTATACGAGTATTTTGGTTAATAGTAAAAATGATCATGTTCTGATTATCCTCAGCGCTTTCCTTATTATGTCTATTTTATTTATGATGGGATTTTTATAACGGTAATATTGGTTTTAATGTCAGTAAAATACTTTTTTATTATTGAATACATATTTAGTATAAATTAACTATTTATAAAAAAAAATTTAACTAGTGTGCGGTGGTCAATTTCAATAAAATATATTATTTCAAATTTTTAAGGACCAATTTTATTGGGACACAATTAGCTGTTTTTTTATTGGTATTTTTTACTAAAATCACCGCTCTGAATAATTACTTCAAAAACCCTAGATGACACTTTTTTATCGGCAGCCCGCGTAATGAACTATAATTTATCATGATGTTATTGATTATTATATTTTATTGTAGCTGTTTGACGTTCTTAAAATATTATATTATATTATAAGTGTTTCGATGTTATATTAATAATATTGTTAATCAAATAATAATTTATTACACTAATCTTATTGTTATACTTACGCATTAGAATGCCATATTTTTGAAATTAATGTTTGCAATCGAAAAATTATACCTATAATTATTTATCGGCGTTATTTATTCAAATTATTATTATACAGAAAATATATAATATTTATTATATTAGTTATATTAGAAATATTATATTATCCATATTACACTATATTACATATTTATTATATTATCAATATTGCACGATATTATACTATATCTATTATATTAGGTGGGTATATTAGAAATATTATGTTATCCATATTACTCTATATTATATAATATTTATTATATTAAATTAAATAAATTATATTATTAGTTATATTATGTCTAAGGACAATAGAACAATAGTTTAATGTAGAATTTAAAACTATATAATTAACATTATAATAAAGAGAATTAGTGCGTTGACAAAAATATTGGCAAACGTGTTTTTTCTGTGTGTTTTGACAAAAGTATGTTAAAATTTCATGAATAATATTATCTATATTATTGTGGTGCACTAGTGGCGTGTCGGCGAGTAGGCCTGGTAGGCCCGAGCTTGCCCTGATTTTTCTAAGCCCTATACATAAGTATTATCTAACAAGGTAACTTTTGTTCCTCTCTCTTTATCGCATATTTACACCAAAGTTTTTCTACGGTGATAATAATCAAAACATTTGAATGTCCATCTATGAAACGTTTTCATAATTTAACGTCAATATCAATTGAAATGGAGTTCAGTTCGGAATTAATTAAAGGTCCTACAAAGATAATAAATTGATGAGTTTGCTAAATTTAGTACTGGAATAATATAATTTGTATAGGTATTTGACCGACTACCAAGTAAATTTACAAGTTTTAATTCATAAAATTATCATTAATTGTTTTTAATTATAATATAACATAATATAATTTTTAATTTAAAAAGTATATTAAAAATGTCAATTTAAAAAAACAACAAACATGTTTACACAAACTGTGGTAAAAATACTACCAAAATACGAAAAAGTCAGGATTTCGGCAAATTACGATTATTATTTCGATCCGTATAAAATCAATTTTTCATTCGACTAAATGAGATTAGCAGAAGTGAGATGACATTACAAATTATACTCAAACCGGGCCTATTCTGAATTCTTACTCTGGACACGCTTCTTTCGTACGCGTTCTCGGATATACGAAAATGGACAATAGGGTCGTAAAACCACCCTAGTAGCTATGATCAAACTTCAAACCGAAATTATTGGAAATAATATTCAATCACGCAAAGGTATTGCAAGGTAAGGAATTATGCGCGAATCGCAACCTCGAAAAACCAAACGCAAATACACGTAGGTATCCTAAAATCATTAGCCATTTCATTCAAGAACCAGAGACAATTCGATTAATATTATTGATGTAGGTATAGTGGCCTGCAGTATGTCTAACCGATTTTTAACGTTTTCCGGAAGGTTTTAAACGTATTTTAAATGCTTGTAAATGTAATAATGCCCGTAGTGAATCTCGTATTAAATTATTGAGCCATTAAACGTAAAATTCAAATGAATTCTATTTAGGAATGTATTTCTAAAACAAATGAAAGATTTTAACGTCGTCGTAAAATTAAGACAATTCAACATCGTACCTATTTTAAAAACCCTTCGCCACGCCACGGTGACGTATTTACCTGTACATTATATATCAAAAATCACATGTTGCGGTGAAGTTTTATTTTCAAACAATTAATAAGTACATTTCGTTTTTTCGAGTCATAAAGTGTACAATGTATATTTAAACAAAAAAAAAAAAATATTTACATTATTCATATAAACCCGACTAATTAATCGGTACGCGTATTTTACATTATTTTTCGCGTACACAAATAAGCGGACCCCGCTAACAAGGTTATTAATATTTACAAAAATATTCGCGAGCGGAAAATGCGTATTTCAGCTTATAAGTTCGTTATCTTCGTTACAAAACGTAATTATGTATATTAAAAAATACCGTCACGGTATTTAACGAGTTATTTCGTTATAAATGGTAATATTAATAATTGTAACGTAAATTGTTGTACGCCGCGGTCCCCCGAAACTTTTCGTAAAAAACATAATGAGGAAGAAAATATTCAGTGACTTTGATATTTCGCGTTTAAAATATTCGCCAGAAAGTGAAAACTATAATATT